GTAGGGGGGTGAATTTTGGGAGGGTGAGGGGGTTTCTACGAGGCTACTGAGACTGTGGGAAGTCCCCATGAGTGTGGCGAGGAAGAAAGGAAAGAAAGTGTTGAAAAGTATGGTTGGAGGTTGGCTATGCATTGGGTTTTGTTTGAATCCCTTAGAGGGACTTGACAAATAAAATGATATTCTTTTCATTTTACTTTTATTTCCTTTTGCTAGGTGGACTGTGCTTCTGTGTTTTTATAGAATTTTATTTGAGAGAGAGCCAGAGAGAGAGAGGGGTAGAGAGAGAGAGAGAGAGAGAGTCTTAAGCAGGCTCCATGCTGAGCACAGAACAGAGTGCAAGGACGTGGGGCTCAATCCCACGACCCTGGGATCATGACCTTAGCTGAAATCAAGAGCTGGACACTTAACTGATTGAGCCACCCAGGTGCCCCTGGACTGTGCTTCATTTAAGGATATTCCACTTCAGGGCTGAAGCTGAAGCTCTCTCCTGAGTTATGGCAGAACACTGAGTTCCCTGAGGGTAGGAAGCCTATCTTCTTTATTTCGTATTCCTGGGTGTAGCCAAGTGCCTGCCATAGAGTTGGAGCTCAGTGAGTAGTTCTGGAATGGAAATGAACCAGACTGTCACCTACCAGACCCAGTGGGGCTGGTCTTAGCCCCCCAGGGAAGAGCAGCCAGAAGCCTTGTGGGAAGGCCGACTGGTTTTTCTGCTCCTCTTTTTCTGGCTTGTCTATTTGTTTTAGTGTGCTTAGCTCTCTAACTTTTAAAGTTTTTAGAATTTTGTTGAGGTATGATGGACTCACAGTAAACTGTACAAAAATTTAAAGTGTATGATTCGGTGAGTTTTGATATGCGAACACGCCTGGGAAGCCAACAGCTAATGAACATGGCCGTCACCCCAGAAGCTTCCTCCTGGTGGTGATGTTTGGCATGTTTTGTGTTGCTTCGAGGTTTTATTACCTAGAGGTAAAGAGAAGAGGGAGGGGATGGATGAAACAGGATTCATCGCAAAGTGATAATGGTTGAATCCGGGTGTTTACGTACATTTTCACACTTAGGTGGGCAGATACTTTACCCCCAGCCAGGTTTGGGAAAGGGGGGTAACTCTTATGTACCACTTCCCATTGTAATTAGTAGCAAATGGAAAGTCATGGGAGGTCCGTGGGCGGTTGTAAATCTAGCATTTTCAGAGATGCCAGGCACCATGACCTTTGCTGAAAAGCAATTTAAAGGTGAAGGTGGGGGAACAAGGTGTATATTTGCAACATGAACTCTGTTTTTGTTTTTACATTGTTTAATGTTTGTTTATTTTTGAGAGAGAGAGAGAGACAGAGCATGAGCAGGTAAGGGGCAGAGAGAGAGGGAGACACAGAATCTGAAGCAGGCTCCAGGCTCTGAGCTGTCAGCACAGAGCCCAATGTGAGGCTTGAACTCACAAACTGTGAGCCCATGACCTGAGCTGAAGTCGGATGCTTAACTGCCTGAGCCAGCAGGTGCCCCACCCATCCTTTTTGATTAGAGGAAAATGTTAAAAAAAAAATTATGGCTTCTGATACCCTTTCAAAACGTGAGTCCTAGGGGCGACTGGTGGCCCAGTCGGTTAAGCGTCTGACTTCGGCTCAGGTCATGATCTCACGGTTCGTGGGTTCCAGCCCCGAGTCAGGCTCTCAGAGCCTGGAGCCTGCTTCGGATTCTGTATCTCCCTCTCTCTCTGACCCTCCCCTGCTCATGCTGTCTCTCCCTCTCTCTCAGAAGTAAATAAAAACATTAAAAAAATTAAAACAAAAACAAAAACAAAACGTGAGTCCTAGGCCAAAGTCCTTCTCTTCCAATACAGAAAAGTATCTATATTCCCACCATCCAGAGATAGTCATGTAAATGAACATTTTCCTGTATGTGCCTTTACATACATATGTGCATTCACAAACATATTTATATTCATATGGATGTAAGTGTAAGTAAGTGTACAGACATTTAAAAAACTGGAATCTTACTTTGAATACTGTTTTACTTCTTGCTTCTACGTATGAGCAAATTAATTCTTTTAATACAATATAGCTAATTAGAAACCTTTGGTGTTTTGTTTCCAGGGTTTTTAAGAGTTACCATTTTTCTTACACTAAAACCCCCCCACATATTCTAAGGCATAGGAGAGGACACCATGAAAGGTAAGTCTCCCTCCACCCTCTTGTACAAGCATACCTCGTAGCCCTGGTATTAACTCTGACTGGGGCTTCTGACCCACCCACTCCTATGAAATATTTCTCCTTCCTGACTTACCCAGCAATAGCCACTTCCCAGCTAGACCTTGCCTCTACCCATTTCATGAGACCTATCATTCATCCACACTCTAAACACCGCCTAAGTAATTATACACTCCTCCAGTTGTCCTAAACCTTGGATTAAGTACGCAGAGTAAAACATGAGCCTTTTAATTATCTTGGTTACTATATAAATCGCAGAATTCAAGCTTTTTTTTTTTAAACTTTTTAAAAAAATGTTTTATTTATTTCTAGGAGAGAGAGAGAGAGAGACAGCGTGAGCAGGGGAGGGTCAGAGAGAGAGGGAGACACAGAATCCGAAACAGGTTCCAGGCTCTGACCTGTCAGTCAGCACAGAGCCCAACGCCGGGCTTGAACCCATGAACTGTGAGATCATGACCTGAGCCTAAGTCAGACGCTTAACCAACTGAGCCACCCAGGTGCCCCTCAAGCTTTTTATACATGTAAGCAGTTCCTATTGCTCAATTTGAAAATGGCCTCGTTCATTTGAAAACAGAATAGTGATCTGCATAGAGCAACCAGTTTTAGGTTGCAGACTAAAGATTATGGGTTTTAAGTCGGTCGCCTGACTTTGATCCCGCCTCCCAGCCTCTGGGTCCTGCTGGTCTAAGCTGGGTGCAGGGGCAAACCCTAGCCCATGTTTCCATCAGCCCTTGCCAGGGGCAGCGTTACACAGCTTGGTAATCCTGTTCCTGATGCATCTCCACCCCCAGCCCCCACAATTGTGCTAAGCTGTAGGCAACTGACCCCTGAAACTCAGCCCAGTTATCCATCAACTAGCTTCTAGTTAGTTCTTTCTTTGCCCACAAAAAACAACAGTAGTAACTAAGGCAAGAAAGCAAAGTCACAACCTGAAAGAAAAGACATATTGTTTCCATCTGGTCTGCCCATTGCTGAGATGAGTCACTCCATTCTACATAAAGGAGATGGCCAGGCTACTGCCACGGCCCGTTTGGTTCTCAGCTCATCTTCCATCTTACTTTACTCAGGGATTCCAGTACCCGCAACCTCACCCTCCAAGTCTGCCAGGTTTTTCTGCCATCATTACATCAAAGCTTCAGGGAAACCCAAAGAATCTTGTCTTTATAAAACGTGGGAGGACCACACTTAAATTACGATGGTTACGAGGAAAGAATTGTGTGCTTTATTCTGTGTGCTATTGGATTTACGATTATTAAACAATAACCAACCATGGTTTGGAATGCTTACATCTTTTTTTGCGGAGAATTTGATCGAAGTTCCCAGTGTACTCTGTTTTTCATTCTTTCCCTTGCTTCTTCCTTTTTTTTTTTTTTTTTTTTTGCCTCCTTGGCCCAAAGGCCATAAGAGGTGAACTTTCTGATCAGACTATCAAACAAGTGCAGTCTCTTTAAGCATTAACAACATTGCAAATAGGCCCGCAAAGTGCACGCCCCATTCACGGCCAGTTTAATAGCTTACACTTGCTAAAATACAAAAGACGTTTCTAGAATCAAGGATTCAATTTGGCAGTCTTAAAAGATGGTAGCGCTAGGCGATCTCTGTGATAGGTATACTCTAAGATGGCATATATCTTTAAATGTTTCCCCCTTCTTAAAAACTTCTTGAAGGATTAAACAACCTGTTCTCTTTCTCGATGTTCTTCAGCTCGTGTAGTTGTTTTGCGATCTTAGCGATTCTGATCTGTGACCCTAGTGACTCTGACAACGTAGAAAAACAACGGTGAAGTGCTGGGGGATGGTTCTTTCCCTTATGTATTTGAGCATCCTCCAGGCAGAGCTAATAAATATTCATCAAGTGATTAGTGGGTCCATCCCCACGTGCGTCCTTTGCAGCTCCACGCCAGCTCTCTTTTCACAAGCAGTTTTACTCGGTAATTTACAAGTGCTCCGGCTGCACCCTGCACCTGCCAGGATTGCAGTAATTAGCTCAGGATGCAAAATGATTTCTAAATGAAGGTTCTGGATTTATAGAATGAAGAAAGGCTGATAATCAACGTTGTAACTGTAGCAGCCAAGGAGTAACGCGATAAACAGGGATAAATAATAAGGACAAGTCGTTTAACTGTCCCGCGTGCACATTCAGAGGTCTAGACAAGATGCAGGTGAAATACAGCTCAGTCGTTAGGGGCAGGTGGCAGGGTCGGCGTGCGATGATTTACAATCAAGCCCTTTCTCCTGTATATAAGCAGCGTGGATGGGGCGTTTTTAGGCACCTACTGCTGGGGTGACATGAAGCCTCAACGCCGCGTCCTGGAAGGTCGGACCCAGAGGCGGCGGCGGGAGCTGCCTGGCGCCCCGTGCGGGGAGCCGGACGTCCCACCGGTGGGCGAGGGGGCCCAGGACCCGGGCGGGGGAAGGATGAGCTGGGTGGGATGGGAGCAGGAAGCCGCGAGAGCAGCGGGCAGAGCCGGAGGAGGAGGGGGAGAGCGAGAGGAAGGAGGGAAGGGAGGAAAGGAAAAAGGCGGCGGAGGAGAGCGGCCCGCCCTCCCGGCGTCCTCCTCCTCCGCTCCCAAATTCGGGCGGGCCCGGCCCAGGCCGCCGCCGCCGCCCCCCCTTCCCCCGGCTCGCGGGCTGCTAGCAAAACGCGGAGGCCGCCGACTCCCGGGGTGCCCGCGTCCGCCCCGCGCGCGCCCCCGGCCCTGCGCGCGCCCCCGCGGCTCTCGCGCTCCGGGCATGCGCGGTGGGCGGCGCCGCTCCGGGCCGCCTCTGCCGCCGAGAGTAGGAAGCGCGAGCGCCGGGCGCCGGGCTGTCAGTGCGCGTGGGGCCAGCGAGCGAGCGAGCGGCTCCGGCTCCCGCGCCCGCTCCGGCCCGACTCTCCCCGGCCCCCGCTGCCGCCGCGCCGCTGCCTCGGCTGTCGGCCCGCGCCCCCCGCCCGGGGTCGCCCGCCGCCCCTCCCCCCAGCCCGCCCCCGTTTCCCCCCCTCCCGCCCCCAGGCCCTCCCCGGCCGAGGCAAGAGGTGGTTGGGGGACCATGGCTGACGTTTTCCCGGCCAACGACTCCACGACGTCTCAGGACGTGGCCAACCGCTTCGCCCGCAAAGGGGCGCTGAGGCAGAAGAACGTGCACGAGGTGAAGAACCACAAATTCATCGCCCGCTTCTTCAAGCAGCCCACCTTCTGCAGCCACTGCACCGACTTCATCTGGTAGGTGCGCGCGGGCCGGGGCGCACGGCCGGCGCCTCTCTAGTCCGGGTCGCCTCGCTCTGGGGACCCTCGCTCGGCCCCCCCCCTTTGCCCCCTAGTCCGGGCGCGCCCACTCCGGGGCTGACTCACTCGAACTTGGAGAGCCGGCCGAGTCCGAACTCTCGCCCGAAACGACGCGCGCGCGCTCCGGGGACGCTCGCGGGCAGGACTCCCGGGGAAGTCGCCGCCAGGTCACACCCCCCTCCCCCCAACACACCCCTGCCGCCGGGGGGAGGCTGGCCCCGCGCCGCGGTGACACTGATCCCCTCCGCGGGTCCAGTGTCCCCCGTCTCCCGGGCGCACCCCCCCTTCTGCACAGAGGAGCCGCTGGTGGCTGGGTGGGAGCGCAGGGGACGCGAAAGAGAATCCAGGGGGCAGAGTTTCCCCGGAGGAACCGGCGCGCGGCGGCGGTCGCGCCTCGCGGTCCAAGTTCCTGGCGAGCCGGGCTGGGCGCGTTCGGGGTGTGTGTTGCTTCCCAGCGGGCTCGGACTCCGCTGCCAGCTTGGGTCCCTGCCGACTGTAGCTCGTGTCTGCTGGGCACGGCAGACCGGACTCCTCCGGGTGAGCCCCGGCGGGGCCGAGAGACCGCAAACTGTTGAAAGCTGGCAGTGGGGGAGGGGAGATTAAAACCAGGCGAAGGGCAGAGGGAGTCCTTTAAAAGAGACCCTGTCGACACGAGACGAGACTTGCCCGGCTGGGGGGGACTGAGGCCTTAGTTGAGAGCACTGCAGGGTGTCCGAGCTCAAGTAGAGTTCAGTGAATGCAGGTATTAACTTGGGCCAGTGGTTTGGGGATCCTGATGAACGGGAAGCCTTCAGGGGTCTCTGAACCCATTGGCACTAGGGGAAACCGTACATGCCTCTTACTAATCACAGTTCTAGCTTTTACGGATTATTAGAATGGTGACAGCATCTCCCCCCACGAACCCCAAAGTTTAGAAAGCCAAAACTTAAGACCGGGTGCTTCAGTTTGAGTTGTTTCTCCTTCCTTTAGATTTGGCAGATCCCCCAACCTTTTACTACCTCTTCACGAATGTGACTAGGAAGCTCCCCAAGTCAGAACTGCGGAGAGGGTTCCTTAATGCCTATCTCTCCTAGGCTGGGGGCTGCATTAGGGTGACCGTGCCACAGTGTGGCTTGCCACTAACCTCTGTGGCGTGTAGCTTGTTGGGGCCCTAGGCAGAACTGGTGGATGGCTATGTGAATCCAACACACGCGGGGCAGAGCAGCTCAAACACGGTGCTACTAAGACCCTTAACTTTTTCTCTGTGGATGGGATCTGAATTCATCACACCTGGGGGAGAAGTCATGAGTCCCATGAATGTGCTGATAAGGTGCCTAATTTTTCCTTTATGGATGACTGTATCTGAATCTATCACATCTGGAGAAACTCCCCTCTGAGGGTACCGCAGATGTCCTAAAGTGCTTCCCTTTACCATTATGGATGGCTATTCAAATCCATCACACCTGGGGGCAGGTCTCTCTAAGGGAGAGTTCCACAAACCTAGTTCTAATAAGGTGCTTAATTTTTTCCTTCTTAGAAACCTCAAAAATACTTCCATGTAAAGCACAGTCATGTCTATGAATGACTTCCATTGTGTAGTCAGCATATGAAGCAATTGTGCTCCAAGGAGTAGTTACCTATAGATATGGCCACCTAAAAGTTCTTAGCGCATCAGGGCAAAGGAGAGTGCATCTAGTCCAGCGGAGTCCTGCAGCCTTCCCTGCCGTGCTCCATGAAAAGGGAGCAGTAAGGCTGCTGCCTGCTTGTGCCAGAAGTAGGTAAATTTGGAAAGAGACTTGCAACATACATACCCCGGCTGGTTAATGTCTTTCCACTATCCATTGCCCCAAAGGATTAGCCTCTGGTGAACTGCTGTGGCGCTTCAGGTCACCAGGTGTAATGTGCAGTGGAAAATAAAGGTCTCCCTGTCAGCTTTCTCCCTGGCTAATTCCCCTGACTATAAAACTACTTGGAAGGTCCTGGAAAATATTCACCAGGATTGTCTTGCAGTGGTTTTAACTTATCTCTTTGTTTCTGTGGGTCCTTAATTTATGAGCTTGTTTTAAATATTAAAACACGGGTACTTTAAAACCATAAATGTTTGGGTTTGTTTGGGGGGGGGGTGGCCAAGTTGTATATAAAGATACATCAAGTGTTTTGTCAACTTAAGATGACTATGTAAAGCATAAAGCAAACGATTATTATCTTCAAATTTTAGTGCAGGTCATTCTAGTTGTAATAGTATTTACAGTTTAATGTCCATGTCAGGGCCGGCAGAATAAATCTTCTAAAGTAACTTACGAGAGCAAAACGGCCTCTGTATTTGCTTTGGATTCTATTGATTCTTAAAAAGTTAAATCATAATTTCAAATGCAGTTTGAATAAGGCTGTTTTTGTAAAATCTGTCTTTGAAACCAAAACTTAATGTCAAGTGGTACTGTCTGGTAGTTTCTAGACACCTATTTTAAACACGTACCAAAGGAAGTCAGTTTTTAGTTGACTTAAGGGAGAAAAATGATTTCATCTGATTTCCAGGGACAAATTGAAAGCACTATTTTCAACCGTAGTCATCTTTTGTTGAACACGATGCCCAACTCCAAAGAGGGCCATCCTAACTCTCTTGCCTTGAAACTGGAGTATTAATGATGAAGCGTAAGTTGGAAAGGAATGTTGTACATTGAAATAATCTAAGGGGCCTTTGGAGGTTGGGCTTTTCCCCCCAAGGTAGAGTGTATTCAGTATTGTTTAGGCATGTTTTTCCTATCAAATCACTGGTTTTCATGAACAAACCCTTAGTTCTGTGAAATACTTTGTTTCATAACTGGCTTAAGATATGATCTACAACACAGAATGTGTTAAGATACTTTGTTTCTGTTTTTCAGGGGGTTTGGTAAACAAGGCTTCCAGTGCCAAGGTAAGCTGCCACATCGGATTTTTATTTTCAAGTACAATGTGAAATCAGATCAGCATTCCAAGCGGGAACAGGATTTCCAGTCCTCTTTTCTTTGTGATTCAAGAAAAAAGGTAGAGATACTTTCAAAATGAGGTCTGTAAATTTTGGGCCGTTAAAAAAAAAAAAATCAAACCGTATTGCCTAGTAATCTGCATATAGAGCTGCCTTTTTCTCACTGGGATGAAAAAAATCTTCCTGTAACTTTATTTTTTTGCCAAGAACATTCTTGTCAGAAACTGCTGTCTTTGTGTGGGTGTTGAGGAAAAGAAATGGAATCACTTCGTATTCATGTGGCTTTTCTTCTTGCTCGGTGTTTGTTCTTTATCGCTCTTACCTCTGATTTGGGTTGGACTCATTGTAACTAATTTTAGGCCATGCAGCATTCTAAGAATTTTTTTGTTTTTGGTTGCCAGTTGTTGTCCAGCACAAAGATGGCACACCTTGAAGTTATGTAGATTCTAATAAGTTGTTATACTAGGAGGCACACTTTTCCTCTAGTGTGAATGTAACCGTATATGTACTAACGACCCTTCGCATCCGGAGAGAAATCCATTTATTTCCACCTCAGATCTGTAGTTGCATCTGTTCGTTTAAAGTCAACACTTGGTAGCTTGTGAAGGCATTCCAGGCTCACAAGCCCACCTGCTAGCTCTGCTCACCATCTATGTTTATTTAGTTCTTCCATTTCCCATCTGGGCAAAGGTTTATTAGGGCAAGTGGAAAGAGTACATCCTAGCCTGGAAAATATTATCCTAACACTGTTTAATATTAAGCACATTAGAGAGACACTGTGTACTTCGAACCCTATACTTGTGCTAGCGAGTTGGCTTATATTTTAAAGTCCTTCAAACTCATGAACTTGATTCTTACTGCTTCCTAAATTTTCAAGGCAGGTAGGTTATGGTGTAGGTAATATCCTACCCTCACGAGTGCCTCAAACTCTGAATAAATCTCTGAGAGTTACATTGGGAAATCAAGGGATATTCCCTTCTAGAGAAAGGCATGTTACTGCATCCTCTTTATAAAAGATGAAAGGAAGATGGAGCTCTTTGCCTATCTCAGTTGTGGACCTGAACTTGATTAGGCAATGTTTAGGCCCTAGGCTTGAAATGTGATCTTACTTAGGAAGTTAATTAAAATTTTTTAAAGTTTATTTTTGAGCGAGTGCAAGTTGTGGAGGGGCAAAGAGAGAGGACACAGAAGCTGAACCAGGCTCTGAGCTGTTAGAGAGCTTGACGTGGTGCTTGAACTTCCGAATCGTGACATGACCTGAGCCGAAGCTGGATGCTTATGGATTGAGTTGCCCAGGTGCCCTGCTTTTTTTTTTTTTTTTTCTTTTTTTGACATTTACATGTGGAAAGTCTGGTTCTGGGCTGACATATTTTTTTGTAATATTTGGGTGGGAACCTAAGGTAACATAAATACTTGTAGAGATGAAAGTGTTTCTTAAACGGCACCACTTTTTATATACTAAGACTTCAGGATAAGACTGATCCCTTTTAGACTTGCTTGTTGTAGTCCGTTTTGTTGGTGAAATCAGTGGCCGTATTAAAGGCATAAGGGGGTCCTTTGTGGTTCCCCCCCCCCACGATACTGAATATTTTTTGAGTGGATTAGTAGATTCAGTTTCCTGTGAGCAGAACTCCCATAAAGTAAGTGAAGTTGTATGCCCCTTTTCCCTCCGAGGGATAGGTTCTTAATATACTCCATCATTTAATAGTTTTCAAGAGATCAAAATTCTAAATCCTTCTACAATCTCCCCCTCCCTCCCCACCTCCGTATGTGGTGGATATCCTTCCCTATCAAAAACTTTGTCCTAACTTCTACTCAGTGGCTGCATGTTGAGTGTATCAAATTTATCCATCCCTTTCTCTCCTGATAACTTCAAGTTCATACTAGTGAAATATTACCAACGATATCCTTGGACACCGTATTCCTATAATACCTAAGAATATGTGCATTTTAGATTTCAAGGAGTACAGCTATGTTGCTCTCAAAAAGGTTAGTTCCCATTTTTCAGTGTTGAGTATACCCCTTTCCTCTCACTTTTACCAGTATTGGATAGAAGTTTCGTTGACCTTTTTGCTGTTGGTGAAAAGTTTGATCTGTCTAGATAAGGTTGAACGGTTTCCAACCTTTTTGCGCCTCTGTATTCTGTGGATTGCTTTTACCTAATACTTGAGGTCTAGATCTTGCAAACTAGACAAAATAGAGCAGCGAGCATATGCTTTATGCAGTTCTTTGGGGAAGAATTAAACCATAAGTCTTGTTTAGGGAGTTTCTGTACTACATTTACAAATTGTAATTCACAAACGATTTCAAATACATCCTATCTGTAACATGCTATCTGCTTGTTACATTTGGTTTAGTATGTATCCTCAGCATTTGACTGAGAATGCATGTTCTAATCCTTGATCTCATTCACAACTTCTGGATGTCAGCTCAGGACAATGCCTCTTAATTGCACAAACACAATTAGCTAACACTTGGATTTTGACATCCTCCTCAAAAGTAACCTGTCTACATTTTAGAATATATTCAATTTAGAATATACTGGTTTTCTCCGTGCTCTCCAACTTAAAGTCATTTTTGGTTGGTAGAGTCCTTTTCTTCAGGAGAATAACCCCTCCTCCCGTGCCTTCGGCAGCATACCCTCTCGAGATGGCAGTTGGAGTCTGACTTTTTGGATTCCCTATCCATTTTCTCACCTGATGGAGGCAGCATCTTCTAGCTCCTAGTATCTGACCAAAGTCCTATACTACATACAATAGCTGTAGCTAAGTATACCTTCGGTGTGTATGCTCCAAATAGCCCACCTATTTGTGTAGTAGGATAGCTTTAAATCTGAAATATCCTCACTTAGTAAATGTTCAGAACTAGAAGACTAAAGATGGGAGTTGGTAGTCCTTTAAAATTGGGTTTCTAATCTATGCTATTTAGGAAGCCTTTTATAAGCACATAAAGACCCCCCCCCCCCCTTCCCTTCCTGGAGATGCAATCTCAATGGAAGCAGGACATTTCTCCAAAGATCTATTGGGTTGTTGCCACTTGTGCTTCATGGACGCTATGCCATTCTTTAGATTGCAATACAGGTATCCTGTCCTGAAAAAGTGGATTTTATCAGGGCAGGTAATGGGGGGTGGGGTACCTTGCCGAGAACATTGCTGCCTGAAGTCGTGAAATCCAGGGCCATCAACACTGGCGAACAAAGTGAGGTGTGGAGAGTAGATCGAGGAGCCACGGAATAGTTAAGATTCTTAGAGAAGAAGACCAGCTTGTTGCCTTGTAGATCTGTCCCTTCAAGGGTGATTTCAGAACTTGCCTTTGGATTTTTGTGGGGCTTCACTTTCTCCTGGTTTTCTTGATCTACTCTGTGCTGGTTTCCTCTTAGAGACCTGGTCCTTGTCCAGTCTGTTCCCTCCCCGTTCCTTCACAGGAGAGGGAGAAAGGTTTCTCTGGGCTGGTCCCTGATGAAGTGGAGATTCAAACCTGGAAGGTCTGTCTCCTGCCGGCAGTCTCCTGCACCGGCTGCTTCTAAGCGTCACAGTCCAGCAGAGACCTTCACCATTCCGCTTAGTCTTTCCTCTGGGGGTAGTGGGGCCAAAGTGGTCTTCTTTCCCTACTGGAAAAGGGAACAAGCCAACTAGAGCTCTCCCACCCCCTGCCCTAGCAAGACTGCTGCGTACTTCTCAAATTTCAGAGATCCATTCTCTCCAAATGTGACCTGTTTATCGATGTGACAAACTTACACGACCTGTTAAATCTGATCTCTAAAATGAAAAACTAACCAAGGATCTTTGAGGAATGCCCTAAAGAGACCGCATCAGAATCTATCCCCACTGGTGACCATGATCAGCAGGAGACTGGCTCTGAGCAATCACCCCTGGATGTCTGAGAGGTCTGCAGGGAATGGCTGCATACGTGCCTGACTTCAGCATGCTGCTGTGAATCCCTTCTGAATCTGGAGCCGTTTCTCTAAGGACACCACAAATATTGTACTTGACCTGTGATTCTAACTGAAGCTGTGTGTCAGTTAAGGGTTAAAAATCCATTTTCTTTAGTTTTTGACCTTCCATTTTGACTGGTTTCAGAGTACATCTTTCCATCAGCTCGTCTGAGTGGGATGGTGTTTCTTATAGAAGAATGTTTTTTTTTTTGTTTTTTTGTTTTTGTTTTTGTTTTTACATTTTTAGAAACTTTAAATAGTTGCATTGGGTTTTAAGAGAATCCCCAGCAGGCTCAGGGCTGCCAACCCAGAGCCCAACGTGGGGCTTGAACCCACGAACTGACAGATCATGACCTCAGCTGAAGCCAGAAGCCTAACCCACTGAGCCACCCAGGCACCTCTCAAGGCTGATGTTTGAGGGAAGAAAGTTCTCCTGCTCTTCCTCTCCTGGCTGTGTGAGAAGGATCTAGAAAACTGGGCCAGTTTAAGGGAGGATGACCTTAAACAGAAAGGGGATAGGGTCGGTAGCTTTCCAGAAAAGGATGTCCAGTTCTTACTATGGCTTCTCAGATGCTGGGAGGCAAGCAGTGTGGACAGCAAGTGCCAGGACATGAAGGGGGCTGAGGTCTGAGTTGGGCTGAATCGTGAAGTTGACTGCCTTTTAACAGACTTGTCTCATGTACTCATTCATCTCCTAAACTAGCAACAACCCACTAACATTCAGAGTTGACCCTATAATTTCCCATCTTCAAAACTGGGGTGTTTGTATTTTGGCACCCCGTTTCTCATTGGTTACTCTTCAGGTAGAAGCTGTGTTAGCAGGTGATCTCCCGGGGTCACAGAATTCCATAAAGACCCATCCGGGGAACAGTGTGATTTGAAATTCTGATGGATTTGCCCTGAGGTCAGATCATAGCCTTCATCTTCAAAGACAATTGTGAGAAATCCCTAAAGCAAAAGACGGTGGAAGGTGGGCAGTTAGAACTGCCTTTCGCTCCAACTTTTTTCTTCCGTA